ACCAACAAGCCAGAGGTGAAAATGCAACCAATATGACACCAACAAGGAGCCTTACACCAATTGACTTCAAAGGGTCCTGTTCCCAGTTCTGCTTCCTCTTCTTGGTATAGCTCACTGAAGGTCGACCAATGGCCGCATTGGCGGCTTTCATCGCTTTCCCCGCTGCCATGACCTCTGCGTCGCGTAAGTACTCGGGTACCGAGCGAAGATGCTGAGGAGGCTGACGCTTGCTCAGAGGCTTGTCGTGCTTTAGCAGCTCTGCAGGAGTAAAACAAGAGTGAAGAAAGAAAACTTAAAGCCTCAAAGACTTACTCAGATCAGCTGGATTGTCTTCGAAGTGTGCTTTCAACCTGAATGTATAAAGCGCATGAGACATAAGATAGGGACGAATGCAATGGTTTCACCTTTCCGAGTTCAGAATTTCCATTTTCAGCTCCTTCGCACGCGCTTCCCTAATCGATATTTTTGTTACACCCCGCGCAACGTCCTGTTAGTGAAGGATTAATCTCCAGGGCCAGAGATGGTAAAGGTACCTCAGCTCTGTAGCGCAAAGACTCCACGGCGCCGCTTGTAATTGTAGGAAACGGCAAAATTCGTTTCTCGCCTGCATTTCCACTGTCACCAGATAGAACATCCTCCAGAGACGATAATAGCCCTTCATCGCCTTCACAGACCTGGAAGCTTATAGTTGTTCAGAAAAACATACAAAAAATTAGACTTACGAATGACACAGCTACTCCAGCATTTCCAGCTCGACCAGTTCGACCAATACGGTGAATATAACCGGTTACAGTTCTTGGCAAATCGAAATTCACAACCTAGTGTAAGTACATATCACATCAATCCTTTAGAAAGAAAAAAATAAAAATAAAAAAACCACCATACCGTATAAACGTTTTTAAAATCCACGCCCCTAACAACTCCAAATTCCGCATCCATAATCCTCTTCTTGAGTTTCTTTCTGTTTTTCAGTTTTCCACCAGCTTGATCCTCGGTTTCTAGCTTATCAGACTTGCCATCGTCGGTGGCTATCATGTAGTCAAATAATCCCAAGTTAAATTCCTGCGCATTCAGCCGAGGTATGATTGTCGTCGTTTCTAATATTGGAATACCTTCAATATGTGTAAACGAGAATTTTGAGGAAGCTCGGCATTCAAAACTGCGGATTTGATGCCGAACTGCCACAATAAAAACTTCTTCAGAACAGGCTTTTGGAAAAAGGCCTTTCCACGTACCTGCTCGAGGAACAGTTTGATCTTGAAGCTTGTATCGATAGCATTTACAAATATCAAGGCCTTCTTCTGAATTAACTCAAAGCGTACGAGTGTGAGCAGATGCAAGAGCTTGTCCTCAGCTTCGCAGCGAACCTGGAAATCGAGTGTCAGACCATGGAACTTCACTAGCGCAACTCCAACTCACCATAAATTGCTGGACAGTACTGGGGACGACATCGTCCTTCGTAGAACCATCCACTTCCGTGAGCGTCAGTGTAACCGGATCATGAAGAACGAGCTTCTTCAACTTATCAACGTCTGCACTGTTTCCGAAACAAGCACGGCTTAAAATTAGACTGACATCAGTAGCATCCTGACCTCGTCGTAGCGGACATCAAAATGCACTGGCACCGAGGAGGAACATGCAAAACAAGCTTCTGCAGATCCTCCTCATAACCATATGATAGTAGCAAGTCCGCCTAACAGTGATCACGATCATTACCTGGGACACGAGCAAGATCAGCTATTTCCTTACCTCGTCAAGCACCAAAGTAGCAAGTGACTCCTTTAAAGATGGTGCCGAGATTGTGCCATCCGCTATGCACGAAGCAACGCAACCAGGTGTAGAAACAACAATGTTTGGACGTCTGGTCACTGCCCCTTTCTATCAGAAAAAAAAATCAGTCAAAAAAAACACCGAGAAAAAGATCGAAGCATACCACTACAGCTGACGACATACTTGTTGTAAGTTGGACTGCCGTAAGAACTCCTCCAGAAAAATTTAATAGAGACTCTAGCTCGTCAAAGACCTGGGAGAAATCTATGATAGATCTTTTCCTTCGTCTACAATGATTTAAACGAACCTGTTGGCAAAGCTCTCTCGTTGGAACAAGAACAAGAGCCTTTAGACCGGTAGCATTCTCCGTATGCGCTAGAAGTTTGTGGATCATTGGCAGTAAATATGCGAACGTCTTCCCGGAGCCGGTCTTGGCTCTTCCCACAACATCCTTCCCCTCCTGGGAGTAGCAACAAGGAATGATTTCCACGAAATCCCTGAGAATTTCACTCACCAGAATGCGTGGAATGGCCGTCTGCTGGATCAGCGTCGGCTTGGGCAATCCGCGCTTGGCGATGGCTCGCAGTAGCCTTGGATCCAAGCCGAGCTCCTCGAAACCAAGCGCTTCCTCCTCGTCCTCGCCATCGCCGTGAGACATCGAAGGTTTAGGGCTTTGTAAAGCCCTAAAATTTAAACTCTCTTCTCTGGCCCTGCCATTAAAACTCGAGAGGGATAGCTAGAGAGAGAGAGGGAGAAAGCTCGGCGAGGCGATGGCTATGGCTCCAGTGGATCAGCTCTTGGCGACGATCAGGTACTATGCCGCGGACCATCCCATGGTCTCCCACTTCCGCTGGGACGAAGATCACACGCTGGGCGCCTCATGGGGATTCGTGATCTCGGCATTGGGGATCTACGCGGCGGCGATTCTTGTCCTGAAGTTCCTGACGAGCCTCCGGCGATCTCCAATCCCTCTCGGCCCGCTCCAGATCCTCCATAATCTCGCTCTCCTCGCCGGATCGGTGGCGATTTTCGCCGGATGCCTCCAGGCGACGCTGGTGGAGCACGAGCAGAGCTCCTGGCTGTGGAAAGCCAGCGGCGGCATCGACTGGCTCTTTTGCTTCCCGGTGGAGACTCGCCCTGTGGGGCGGATCTTCTTCTGGTCCTACGCCTTCTACCTCTCCAAGTTCGTGGAGCTCCTCGATACCCTCATCATTGTTCTTCGCAAGCGCCGCCTCACGCTCTTCCACGCGATCCAGCACGCCGGCAACCCGATAATCTGCTTCCTCTGGCTCCACACCGCGCAATCGCTCCAGGTGATCTTCCTGCTCGTCAACACCGCCATCCAGACGCTGCTCTACTCCTACTTCCTCCTCTCCAGCCTCGGATTCGACCCTCCCGTGAAGGAATTCGTGACGCTCGCGCAGATCCTCCAGTTCGCGATCGGCATCGCGGCGGCGGCGTGGGTGGCGCTGCTTGTTCGCCAGAAATCCGCCAAGTGCTCCGGGATGGAGCCGCTCGCCGCCAATGCGGTCTTCTATCTCGCGCTCATGCTGCTACTCACAAATTACTACATCAAGATCTACGTGAGGAAGAAGCCGCAAACCAAGAAGAGCAAGAAGGCCCAGTAGAAAAGAATTGGGTCGGTCTTCCATTCCATTTCATTTCCATTCCTTCCATCCCAATTCCTTCCATCCCATGGTTTTTGAATTAATGGCCGAGATGAGCCTTATTGTAAGCGAACGGCCAAGATTGACAAGGTCCATTTGAATTAATTGAGCCCCAATTTAAGCGAACGGCCAGGATTGAGAAAACACAACGAACGGCTCCGATGACTTTTAATGCTTTTGAATGAACGGCTCAGATTTCTTACAACATGCCAAGCAAGAACCCTAAATCATGGAGAATGGAGCGAGGAAGAATCACAAGATCTGGGCAATCCTGGGACTAGCCGTCGTTCTTGTGCTACTCATCACGCTCTCAATCGCCGCAACTCGATCCCCCAGCGATCCGACCGTCACTCACCAGGTATTCTTCGATGTCGACATTGACGGGCAGCGAGCAGGGAAGATCGTCCTGGGCCTGCACGGCTCGATCCTGCCCAGGACCGTCGAGAATTTCCGGGCGCTGTGCACTGGCGAGCGCGGCAAGGGATCCAGCGGCAAGCGCCTCCACTACAAGGGGACGATCTTCCACAGGATAATCCCGGGCTTCATGATCCAGGGGGGCGACATCACACGCGGCGATGGCCGCGGCGGCGAGTCGATCTACCCGGGGGGAGCATTCCGGAACGAGAATTTCAAGCTCCATCACGATCACGCTGGGGTTCTCTCCATGGTAAACAACGCATCGACGGCTAGCGGTGTGAGCACGTCCCAGTTCTTCATCACCACCGTCAAGGCGAGCTGGCTCGACGGCCAACACGCAGTGTTTGGGAGGGTCTTGAGCGGCATGGACGTCGTCTACATGGCGGAAGGATCCGGCAGCTATAGCGGCCGCCCTAGAAAAGTCGTCCGGATTGTTCACTCTGGAGAGATCCCGCGAGAAAAATGGTAGAACAAAGGACCGCAAAGCTCAAATCAAGATTCTCTCCAGAAGAATCGCTTCTTGGTGGCAAAGCTCGCATTTTCGCTACCTCAAACTTAAATCCTTCACAAGATAGAGATCTTCTCGAAGATCAAGCTCGGTAGCTTTGAACAAAAAGCTCGTTTTTCACTACCTTGAGAACAAACCAGTACGTAGCTAGCTACACACAAAAGCTCAAAAACTTTTTTTTTTTTTGTGGTTTACCTCCGGCTCCTCCTATGGTGCCTGCTGCGTCGATCTTCATAGTCACTGCTATCACTTCCAGGTGGAGACCATCTCCCGCGAACAGCAGCATCGTCTTCCATTTCCTCTTTCTCTCGATCTTCTCGGTCGCGCTCTCGCTCTCGCTCTCTTTCTTTGCGATCATCGTCTCGGCTTCTTTCTTTGCGCTCGTCGTCTCGGCTTCTTTCTTTGCGATCCTCGTCTCGGCCTCTGTCCTTGTGTTCGTCATCTCGGCCTCTTTCTTTGCGTTCTTCCTCCCGGACTCTCTCTTTGCGCTCTTCGTCTCGGGCTCTCTCTTTGCGTTCTTCGTCCCGGACTCTCTCTTTGCGCTCTTCGTCTCGGGCTCTCTCTTTGCGCTCCTCGTCCCGGCCTCTCTCTTTCTCACGTTCCTTGCGCTCGTCCCTGAAACTCTCTTTCTCACGCTCTTTTCGGTCGTCTCGGTCCCTCTCTTTGCGTTCTTCCCTGCTTCTTTCCTTGCGGTCATCTTTGAGATCCCTCTCTCGCAGCTTTCGGTCGTCTTCACGCTCGTCTCTAGCAGCGGGATCTCGGTCCTTGCGTTCGTCACCATCTTCTTCTTTCTCTTTCTCCTTGACTTCGTCCCTGTCTCTCTCTTTCCTGTCCCTGTCCCTGCGCTCCCCTCGATCCCTCCGCGGCTCGTCTCTCTCGCGATCTCGCTCCTTGCGCTCGTCTCGATCTCTGGCCCTGTGCCTCTCTCGCTCCTCTTCGTTCCTTTTCTGCTCGTCTTTGGCGGCACGCTCGTCCTCCTTTCTTTTCTTCTCTGCTCGCCGCTTGTGTTCTTCGACCTCCTTGTCACGCAACTTTCGATCCTCGTCCCTCTTTCTCTTTGATTCCTGCCGCTTTTCCTCCTGAAGAGCTCGATCGAACGCCTCCCCCGGCTGCATTCCCTCGGACTTTAGCGCGCTCCTCAAAACGTCCATTTTCTGCTCCTTGCGAGCGGCGATCTGATGCGTCTGGGTCTCGGACACCCTGCAAGAAAAAGAAAATCCAGAAGATCATATCAGACCCTTCTAGGCAGAAACTAGAGACTCACTTGTCGTTCAAAGACGCCTCTCGGCTGCTCTCCAGTTCCAGCTCCTTGCGAGTCTCGGCGAGCTTGGCCAGAATCTCGTCATTGGTGAAGCCATTCTCCAGCATTTCCTCCTCCAGCTCCACGAGCCGGACCTCGATCTTGCGCATTCGGTCGTGCTCCAAAATCTCCTTGTTGGCCTTCTTGCTCACTCCTCCCGTGCCCTCGCCCGGCAGATACTCCTTGGCCTCGATCTTCCCCGCCCGCGCCCGGACATGGAATTTGTTCGCCTGGATGTAGCCATTCGTACCTGAGCCTCGCGGCGTCTGGAGACCGATCCCGTTGTACATGGCGCCCCCCAAACCCTAGCTACCGGGCGCCCAAGAACCCTAAGCTCGAGAAAACCCTAGAAGCTCGTGGGTCGCATCCAAGCCGCCCACGTGTCAAGGAAATATCGACTAAATTTCCGACACGAGGAAAGCGTAATGGAATCGAAACAGTGTTTAGGTCTTTGTGGTTCTCAGTAGCTCGGAGCTGCGGCATCGATCTGCGATTTCCAGGTATGGATCCATGGATTCTCGATCCTCCTCTCATTCGCGCATCGCGATCTCCTCCCAGGGTCTAGGGAAAAGCGAGGGGAATGGCGACTTTCGGAGACGCCCCGGCTGGGAACCCGAAGAACGGCGAGAAGATCTTCAAGATGAAGTGCGCGCAGTGCCATGTCGTGGAGGAGGGAGCTGGGCACAGGCAAGGTAATCGAAGCGATAGAGATTTCTCTGGGCGGGATCACTAACATTTCTTTTGGCTGTTTGTTTCCAGGCCCCAATCTCCATGGTTTGATTGGGAGAACTTCTGGGACTTGCCCCGGGTTTAGCTTCTCGGCGGCCAACAAGAACAAGGCTGTGGAGTGGAGCGAGGAGACGCTCTACGAGTACCTCTTGAATCCCAAGAAGGTAAGCACTGCGATTTTTTGCTCCCGAAAAAACACGCTTTTTTTTTCGTGGCGGGTTTTCTCCAGTACATTCCAGGAACCAAGATGATCTTCCCGGGATTGAAGAAGCCGCAGGAACGAGCGGATCTAATCGCCTTTCTCAAGCAGAACTCCTGACATGCTTTTTCACCGCGCGGCTGGGATTAATGGGTGGGGAATAAAGAGGATTTCCGAGAGCGTGAATTTTCGAGATCCTTTGAGAGAACTTTGATAAGAACTGCGTCTTTTTGTTCTTTTTAATTCAATTCATTCGTTCGTTGACGGTATATTTCATTCTGGTAGCACCATATTCCGGGCTGTTGCTGACAGTATATCCCTCGTCATATTCCGCTTTTAGAATATTCTACCTTCTCTTGCGGGAAATTTTAAATGATAGGGTTTTGGGAGGGGAGGGAGGGCTATGGCGTCTGGATCGGCAGCATACGCCGCCAAGAAGGGGGTGGGGATGCTGTTCAATGCCACCAAGACTGGATTCGCGGCGCTCTCGCAGGGCATCCATATGGTGCGCAAGGGCTACGCCGATAAGCACGAGACCGGCGTGCTCGAGGATCTTCGCAAGACTGGGAAATCGCCCGTGGAGCATTTGTTTGACGGTAAGATCTCTCAATTCTTGGTTTCTAGACACGGCTTGCGAAATCGAATGAGTTTTAGTGGCTGCGACCTTACGATTTTGTCTTTCAAATTTCTCCACGATTGTTTTTATTCTTTGCAGCGTTGAGGAGAGTGTACTACCTTTACCTGGCCGGATACAAGAACGAGCTTGCTGCCGCTGGTCGCTACACGGGAAAGAGAATGGTAAGTTTTTCTTTGTCCAGCTTTTTGCGCTTGGTTGTGTGTGATGTCTTATGCTATCTCAGGAATACACAGATTGATATAGAGCGCAGCAGCATTCCACTCGACGCCGTTCTAGTCATGAGCCAGTCAGTGTGCTCCGAGGCGCTCAAGTTTGGCGACTTCGAGAAAGGCATTTTTACGCGGAGCATTCAAGACTATAGGAACAAGTCAAGGATGGGAAAAGATCACTATGACCGAGACACTCTCATCCATGACGTCTACTATTCTCTCCTCTTGGCATCTGAGGTTTGTCTCGGCTTTCTTTCTCCTCAAGTTGGCGATTTTTTCTTTCTTTCTTTTTTTTCTTTTCGCCAGGCCTGTGGATCGGACTGGAGCGAGCTAGAACAGATGTACAGAGAGGCTGTAACGCGAGTAGTAGACCATGCCGAGAGGACAACAGACCCGGCCCTTGCAGACGTTGTGGAGACAAGGTAGCTTGTGGATCTTATAACTGGGCAAGTTAAATTGTTGCTCTATTTCTTTGGCTTGGCAGGAAAACAAAAGCAGCCAAGACGCTGTTTAGATTCATGACTGAGATCAAGAACCTGGCACAAGAAGCCGAGCGCGAGAGGGAAAAGGCAGTCAAGGCTGCGGAGGACACAATGAAACTGGAGGAGGAGAGATTGAAGAAGATAAATGCTGGAGAAAGGCCTCCTTAACAGTGGCAGCGGCTACCACTATAGTACACTACAGGTTCCCAAGCAAATGTAAGCACCGTATATGTCGATATTCACGCGATCTCTTTCCAGAGTTTCTCATGCTTTCTAGGAACATTATGGCATCTCCATTTCTTATTGCATACAAGGCGTGCCACTTCCATATTATTTCAAGGCGGCTCTGGAATTCTCAAGCCCCGGTTTCATGAGCGTGAAGGCCTGCGCGGTGTCACTGTGGGTGATCGGAGTTCCAATGCCGGTGTCATCCATCACCACGAGTTTGGCGTTGTTATTGGCGGGGCGGGGCTTGTTGCTGCTCCAGATCTGAGTGTCATACTGGTTGTAAACCACGAAGACTTCGAAGCCCGTCACTTTGGCATAGAGGCATTAAAACCCATGCTAGGAATTAAGGGAAGAGTGGCCATAGAATTTTACAAGGAAGTGAAGTCTCTATTTTTAGTGAGACATAAATAAATCTGAATTTCACGGAATGTTTTTAATTGTTTTATAGCAAACCAAACGTTGCTACTAAGTGCAACAAATTATATCATTTCGATTATGGCGATTGCGTATAGCGGCAATTCCAGCTTCACCACCAACACTGTGGCGTCACTTATAGAGCTCTTGACAGTAAGTTTCCCTTCCCAATTTATTTTAATACAGTTTTGAAGCACTAAGCAATTCCAGATCACTATGTCCTATTCCATATCAATTCCTTCTCTCGAGTTTGATGAAGTTAACTTATGTTACTACATGTGATGAAAACCACCATGAATAAGATCTCATTTAGCATCAAGTTGAAATGATCCATGGTTTGTCACCTATAACCATTCGTTGAGAGATATCTAACATTATGTTCCAATTTATTAGATCTTTCTCAAGCATTGTATCTGAGGTAGATTGGTATGTTAACAAGTTAGAATTCCATCAAGAGAAGCTATCCTTGACTCAACCAATCCCTACTTAATTGAGCAGCTGTTTTGTTCAAAGGGGTGGCATTTAATATTGGCCTTGTTACCACTAAAATTAGCAAGAATTACAGCACACCTATTTTTTCAGGTCATTCAACCACATAGTAGCATTGCTTGATATACACTACAACCATGGAATGGCTCTAAAAGTAAACAGGGTTTATATTAGGATTACTAGAGATAGTATAAATAAATTGCTGTGTGCATAATGATCCTGCTTGGTTTAATTTTTCTTAAATATCATACTATAATATTTTTATATAATCTAAGGAAAAAAAAAACAAAACAAAACCTCACTTTACTGAAAACCCTCAACTATCAGCTGTCAATGGCAATTCCTTGACAGCAAAAAGTAATAGGATTGGGTGACAAGTACAAGTTAGACATAACTATGTGAATGATTAAACAGAATTACACCAGTTAATTTATACTAGTGAAAGAGCCAAAATAAATAAATAATATTCTTTCACAAGCTTAGACTAAATACACTAACAAAAAAAATCTAATTAAATCCTATCAATCTCTAGTTTAAACTTTCCTACATTTGTAAATAACTTCTCAATATTATTGTTATTATTATTATTATTATTATTATGTGTTTTTATTTTTATACTTTTATAATATTACATTAAAATAATTAAAAGAGGCAGGTACTCTTTAATAAATTAAAGCAAGGTAACTACTCCTATATCATCTACAAAGGCACTAAATTTAAGTTGGCCCTTGGTTTGTCTTGCAATGAGTCTCAACAAGTAGTGTGTTTGGGCATTAACCACTAAAAGAAAGACAAATTAAGCCAACACACACTTAGTAGACTTCTAATGAAAGAGGTTTTAAATTGTCCTTTATTGTAACTTTACAAACTACATCTTGATATAGAGTGGCTGCCTGCAAGAATACCCAACTATCATACACTTTCATAGTCTAAAAGAATCAAAGCCATTTGTAATTCCTCGTCCGTAACTTGTTCTTGTGTTAAAAGCATAGTATCCACTAGCTATCTCCCTTCCATTATCTGCCATGTATAGTCTCTAGTAAAATTAGTATCAATTTCTTAACCAATGCTTTTGCAATGATTTTGTAGAGCATATTAAACTTGGAAAATTGAGCTCTCTCTCAAAAATAGTCAGCTAAAGAGTATATATTCAAAATGCCTACCATCATATCCTTGATCTTGAATTGAACACTTTTGTAGTGCACATGAATTTAGAGTTGAACTCCAAGCTTGTTGCGCTACAAAATGAGGGTCCGGTACAATCCCACGAGCATCAGCTCCCCGTATCTAGCATCTGCATGCAAAATGGTGTCAGATGGAGTTTGGCACAATTTTGGCATACTGGTGGCCTAACGTGAGGAGGAGGGTACCCCACCAATTAGAGCAGCATGGAGTTTGGGCTTAGACCCAAGTCGGATGTAGAACAAGAAGCGACATAGCCCAATGGGAGCCAAGCTAATGTCTTAGATGGTCGGATATGCATTCCAATCACTATCCCTACTATACATTTGAAACCCCCCATAACCCCCCCTGAGGAACACACACTTTGGGCTTTCACCCCAAGCCTCCCTTAATACCAAGAGTTAGTCTCTGGGACAAGCTCGAAACTAAAAGAGTCACAAGATTACCCTCATATAGTTGAGGCTGGTGCTCATGAATTTGAGACTAGAATTGATAGCCGTGGGAGGTCAAATATATATGAAGACATAAGTCCTTGAAATGGTAGCGAGGGCTACCTTTTATAAATGCTGGAACAAACCCAAGGAGTTAGGGGTGTGCTTAGAGGATGAGTTGGTATTCTTATCATATGGACGGATAGTCCTAAAGGGCAAAAGTAGCCCACAAGGAACGGGAAAATAGGTCCTTATGAGTAAGACATGAATACACGAAGTTGTATTCTAGTGAGCTGACACCTCAAGATAAGACCTTATAGGTCATTGGATTAGCAAAGTCCAAAAATGTTGGATGATTTAAGTAGAGTCAAAGAATGGTCCTAAGGGATTAGTAAAAAACATTTGGACTAAGGTGCATTGAGCCCCACGAAGGATGGGGAGGATCATAAGATTTAAGTGTGAGAATAGTGGGTATCTTAGTGATAGCAGAATGTGCCATACTAAAGTTATGGAAAAAAGGTTATCAGAAGAAAGCAATTTTGACACAAAATTGTGTCTAAACTATATGGTGTAATGCTAACGGATAGTTGGCAGTTTTGGTCTTAGCAAAGACCTAGACACAAATAAAAAGTGTCATAAAGGTAAATTCGTAGAGCTAATGGTATGGAGACACCAAATATGCCAAGACGTGATGGCTTGAGGTCAAGTTAGCGGGTTCACAATGTAAGCGACTAAATTTTCCATTTTACTTTAGTCACTTAACCGCACCTCCGACCACTTGGAGGAGTCTCACTCACAACCTCCGTAAGTACTATTTTGGACTTGGGCTTACTAGGCCCGAGAATGGCACCCCTGCCACTCAACTTCGTGCACTTGGTCCAAGTCCTCCACGTGTCCGATCCCATGACCAACACC